TGGTAAAGATCTGACATACTTCCATTTTTTTTACTGGATAAAAAACGGAACTATGTCGGATCTTCTAAAAAACGGATTTTTGATAAAGTAAAACCGGGTTTCTTATATAGATCCGTTTTTTATCCAGTAAAAAAAAAATGGAAGTATGTCGGATCTTTTAAAAACCGTTTTTACTCCGGCAATAAAAATAGATTTTTACTAAAGTAAAACTGGGTTTTTTGTATAAATCCGTTTTTCATCCCGTAAAAAAAAAACGGAAGTATGTCGGATCTTTTAAAAACCGTTTTTACTCCGGTAATAAAAACGAATTTTTACTAAAGTAAAACCGGGTTTTTTGTATAAATCCGTTTTTCATCCAGTAAAAAAAAACGGAAATATGTCAGATCTTTTAAAAACCGTTTTTACTCCGGCAATAAAAACGGATTTTTGCTAAAGTAAAACCAGGTTTTTTGCCTGATATGTTCGAAAATTTTTTTTTACAGGGCATTAACAAACTTGTTCTGAATCCCACAAAGAAAGTAACATATGAATAAGAGTTGCTTTTTGATCCGCGTCTGTGAATCTTTATTTTTTGTGGATGTGTTAGATGAAAAATATAACTCATCAAAAAAGGATTTTAATCTTGCATCCTCCCCTTCCATAACTATACGAAATTCATCAAATGAGTATAATGTTGATTTTTTTTCTCTGTTTTTACGAATATATAAGATGTTAGTTATTATTTCTATTGCTTGGGAAAAAAATAAAATGATATTAGTATTTTCAATTTCATTAGTCTTCTCAGTTTCATCAAGTTTGCGTCATTTTGTACTAGCTTGAACATGGTGCTGAAATTCACGTGAACTGTTTACCACAATTCCATTATAACAATTTAAACAAATTATATCGTCTATTTGGATATAATCTGGTAAAGTATTATTGGCTTGACCTTTGACAATAACATTTTCAGTTACCTTTTTCCATCAGTTTGACTGTCTTTGGCATATTGTAATTACGCATGGACCAGTAAGAGGAGTTGATGGTGACATGTTTAAAGTACTTCTGGGTTTTGGATTATTTTGAGATTATTTTGCGTCGAGTATGTTAACACTTTTTTGTAACTAAAAACAATAGTTATTTTATTTTCTACTAATAGTAATGTGATGTTCTAGTCATATTCCCGTAAAAGTACTTTAAAATGTATAAATTAAGTACCCGAGTTGTACCCGAGTAATTGATTAAGATCAGCCAATCACATAAAAGTCCTCCTATGTTGGCTAGGGTACTAATTTGTTTCGGTGTAAATAAATATATTAATCGTTACATAAATTAAACAGATTTATTATATGTTATATGGACTATATCCCAAAAAATTACATATATGCATCACATGAGGTTGCTCTTGGGGCTCAATGTCATATAATAGATATTTAAGAAACAAATAAATGTTTTATTCTATGCTAAAAGAACGTAATTACAAAGTTTCGGGAAATAACCCATGATAAATAACAAGATCTATGTACATGATATTATCATTAACGACTATGGGTCGTCAGGAAGCGGATCTTCGGCCTTTAAACCTCGTCGGGCTCGTGTCAAATCTAATGGGAGTATCAACTGTTAATTCTTTACACGGATTAATCTGATAATATATTTAATTAACAATAAAAGGAATTACTTACCGATCCTCTCTCGCCTCTTATCACAAGCTCTTTCTGGCATCTCCATTTGACTTTCGAGAGTCTGATTCGGTTATTCAGATCTCGTGCATCGTTGAGATCTTGTCGAGGAATCATTGGAACAATCGCGCCATGGGCATCTTTCAATTCGATCCTCGCGGTCTTTGTAAACCTGAGTGAAGTCGCGCAGATGGTGGAAGAACATACTATGGACGAAATATACGACGCTGTGTCGAATCCCTCTCGTGACAGGAAAATTGCCGTGTAAGAGGAGTCGTGAGGAAAATGCGACGACTTGTCCAGGGCTGAGAGGTATTACGATCTGGAGTTGCGGGAAGCAAAGTTCACCCCCCTCGAAATCACCAAGAACGACTAAGCAACACAAAGAATTTGGTTCGTCGTGTTCGTCCCAATGGAAATCGCTTATTGTATTGAAATTGATCGCGATCATAGGAATGGTCTTGCTTGCTCAGGTGGTTGTCCGTACCAGTGATAATTCTATGAGGCCTTAATCTGAATTTAAAAATAAATAACATATATCGAAATGGAGATTTGGTTACCTATAACAGGCTCGAATTACTTTATTTCTAATATTGGACGTGTCAAAAATAGAAATGGCAGGATTTCAGAAGGAAGTATTTTGAAAGGGCATGGTTATACACGAGCAAATATTAATATCAATGGACTTAGTACAAAACCTTATATTAACCACATTAATGGCATCAAAGGTGATATCGAGCAGATAATTTGGAATGGGTAACTCCTAAAGAGAATGCTGAACGTAAGGTATTCCAAACCGTGGTCGTGGCAGGTCCAGAAAAATTGTTCAGAAAACTTTGGATGGAAATGTTGTTCAAATTTGGGATTCTATCGCTCTTGCAGGTTATACACTTAAAATTTCGGGAACTCATATTTCGGCATGTTGTAGTAGAAAGCGAAATATCGCTGGTGGTTGGCGTTGGATGTATTATGAGGATTATATAGAACAAGACCCTAATGAAGAATGGAGAGAAATAGAGGTTGATTTACGAAAATTTAAAGTTTCATCTCTCGGAAAAATTCAGTTACGCAATGGTTTAATCTCTCAAGGAACATTGCACTCAGGATACCTCCGAGTTGAGAAATATCGTATCCATCGGTTGGTAGCATTAGCAATTTGTCTAAAAGAGGAAGGCAAAGAATATATAAATCATATTGATGGAGATACTACCAACGATAATGCATCCAATCTTGAATGGTGTACCCCGAAAGAAAACTCTCAGCACGCTGTTCACCTCGGACTTTGGGGTCAATGTCGTCGACGTGCCGTCAAACAGGTTTTGGACGATGGTTCTACTCAAGAATTTCCATCCTTATCCGAAGCACAACGCATAACTGGAATTGATGGATCATATATTGGGAAAGTTTGCAAAGGACGCGTAGCTCGAGCTGGTGGCTATTATTGGGAGTATGTAAGCATTGAGATATGTTCATACGTTTTTACTTCATCCGATTAGCAGTGGATGGGTCTGTAATCTGCATCATACCTGAAATTTTGTTCACTTGCACGAAGCGGATAAAAGGACCGACCGGTGACGCACCTTATTTTTATGATTTGCAACACTCGCGGTCTAAGAGTCGAATTGGAAATATTTAAGTGGTCAAAAATTATATGAAATTGCGGAATTATCAACCCTTGTACTTATCATTGGTTAAACTACACCAATTACAAATTAAGAATTCTGAATTTTTGCGGTTATATAAGAGGACTTCTTTTCGAGTTATAGACCAAGCGAGAATCCACAACGATTAGTAATGAAAATCGTGTGAATGAAAATATACGTAAAATTTTTATTTTCAACACATGACAAATATAAATTCTGAATTTTAATAATCGTGCCAGCATTAAGCACGCAAAATAAATTCTATTATGACTGCTTTTCATCTACTGCAGAAGAGATTGGCGCATTTTGGCTAATGCTATCAGCGCTGTCCGCCTTCCATCTGGTTCTGCGAGATCGAAACCAGTTTTCAACCCATTTTCTCCCGGCCACCTTTTAATCACGACTGATTGATATTTCGGCAAACCTTCACAGAGCTCCTCCCAATATTTTGCGGAGATTACAGTTTTGTAGAATGTAATATATTTAGAGATGACACGAACAGCATATATAGTCTGATCAATGTCTTCATCTTTGCCAATGCTACATATATTTTCATCACCGGCGGCGAGTATTTCGGCGGCGATTTGTGTTTCTCCAAAACCAGTCGATTTGATAATTTTTTTATTTTTTAGGTGTTTATCTTGTTTTTGTAAAAAAAGATTCTTTGAGCGAGCATAATTAGACTCGTCAAACAATCAAAACATACCGACCACTATAACCACCATAGAAATGGTTTCATTATTTATCAAAAATTCAGGGTCTGCTGTCACGGACACGTTGCCAATGAGTAGCTTGCAGCGGGGACCGGGTCTAGGTTTGAATGTAATGAAACTTTTGAAGTGTATCATAAACTCACAACATTTCCCATTGTACTTACTTAATAACCAAGGGCCAAGCATCTAAATCGACAGCGTGAGTTATCAGGTCATATACCAATGCGTTAGTTGTGGCTTCACTCGTGCCTATATCGAGACCTGCGTTCTTGACGTCATGCAGTTTGTGGAGGAATGTTTTGATACGTCTATCTGAAATACCATCAAGTTTGTTAACATTAAAATTTATATCTGAAAGTATCGTGTTGTTGATGCAATGAAGAACGTATTGTTCCGGAAAGTCGGTGACTACAGGGTATTTAAAAAATTGTTAATGTGGGTTTTCTAGGAGAAATGGTGACACTGGGTACTTACCGTCAACTGCAGGAATGACTTCGTCCTCGGATGTAGCGGGTGGAAACTCGTTTTCAGTGCATCAATATCTCGTTTTAGGAACTTGGACGCTGAGGGGCTAAGGTTGACCACGTTTGATTCTGACTCAGCTTCGCTGTCTTCACTGGAAGGAAGCTCGACTATAACGGCTCTTTTTTGCAACATCGAAATGGGAGAAAATAAAGTGTAAATAGGTGTGAAATAGACTTTTGTGGGAGGGTACGTGATGCAGGTTGAGAAAACCTCGCAACATGACTAAGTAATGAAGCCATTTTATGAGCGTTCATGATTTGTGTCAAAAAAGCGAGAATTAAGGGTGAGCTGGAATCTTTCAGATTATTGTCTAATGGGGCGAATAAGCCGGGGTCAATCGACAAGGCACGTGGCCCGAACTTTGGGGGTCGCCCTGATTAACATTGTATTACCGATCTACAAACTTGTTCCAGAGAAATTTAAATTCTGGTGATCACTCGTGTGGATTTAAATCGAGTTTCATGGAACAAGCAAGAAAGGAAATCGAAAGGTATAAACGTCTAACACAGTACCTTGTCAAACAAGAATCGACGCAACATGAGTAATTAAGCTTTTCACAGTATTCTTATTATATCTTGAGAGAAGAGAAGAACTGATCTGTAATAATTAATTTTTCAGCAAAATTAAAATGGAAAATTTCCGTTGGCCTTCTAAAAAGAGAAACGTAACTGAAAGGTAAGTTATTTCATTTAGTGATTGTAATTTTAACAAGAAGCACAATACAATTATATTAATTTATGCTTTACGCGACAAAAGCACGCTTTTCAAAGGATCACCTTCGAATTTTCTTCATAGCAGCAAACCAAAATACGAAGACGTACTAACAATAGTAGATCACAATGCTTTTTCCAAAAAGTCAAACATGGGTCTGATGATAGGAAAAGGACGCTTTCAACCAGAAATCTCATATTTTCTTGCTCCATCAGTGAACACCAATGACTACGACGATTTGTTCTCGCAGGAAATTGAAGCATTAGTTGAGAAAATCGATGCGAATAACGTGAAAAAGTTGCATGAAACTACGGGATACGATTTTTTCGAGGAGGATGATTGGATGAAAGGAATGGCGTATCATTATGTTCAGATATCGACTGAAGATATGCTGCGGAGATTATTGGATGCTTTAGGATTCATCTATAAAACAAAACGGTTCAGTAAAAGCGTATGATTGCTATTATGTCTTTCATTGTTACATGGAATTGAAAAAAGGAACCTTTTTCCCTTTTTAGTGAATCAGTAAGTCATGTAGAACCAATCACTTGGGATACGGTAATAGGTGCTGCGCAAATGTCTGAGTTACCTTCAAGTGTGTTAGAGATTGCGATAAATCGACTTTCTGAAGTATATCCTACTAAGACGAATAACTCTGGTATAAGATATTTTATTTATCGATTGCTTTTTAGTTCAGAAAAAAATGATTGATTGATTGATTGATTTTTTAGAGAAAATTTCAATAATCAAAGCATACCATAATAAAGTCAATGAATTGGATTATATTACGCAAATAGAACATCGAGGTCAAAAACAAGATAAAGGAAAAACATCTAAAAAAGCGGCAGCGAGTAACAGTAATAATGAGAATCAAGAAAACAACAGTGATGGGTTTGGAGAAATATTCGATATTAACTATATGCAAAGTGATGATGATGGTGATGATGATGATGATGATGATGCAATTTCTAGCTGATAAAGGACTAGAATCTCTTCAGGAAGATGATATCACAGAGTGAGTCATTGTCAGCTAGTTATTTTTCACACACACATATATATATTATAAATATTGAAATACACGCACGAAAAGAGTCGCTTGTATCGGGTGTATCATTGATTAGCATTATCAAAAGGATACGTATTTATATAGCGCAGATTAATAATAATAATAATAAAGCATTTCACTACCCGAAGGAATTAAAGAAATTCTTCCTTCGACACAGAAAGAGCACACATCTACAATTACAATATAATGATAACAATATTCATAATTATATTGCGTGAACAAATTAATAATGCAACTACATTTTTTACATATTTCCAATTCACCTTAATCAACTAACACCCGATTTTTTTCTATTCTTATAATTTTCAAGAAACGCAATACTTTTAGGTTAGCTTCTCTAGTTGCTCCCGTGATCTTCAATCCCATGTGTTGTATAGTTAGTGGCGAACTAATTGAAAAATCAAATAGGTAAGTTGTGAAGAATATTGCTTAATATAAGTAGAATAATGTAAATACCTTTTCGGATTCTTTTTAAAATAATCCCACAATGTTCGGTAAACCTATAATGAGGGAATAATGAGATTAATAAAAATATCATGTGCGGCAGATAAAGGATAAAGCTTACCTTCGCAAACTACGGTAATTTTGCTAATAATAAACGTTTTAATATTTAGTACCTTGATAATTTATCATATCTTCTCGCCAAGCTTCTGAAATAGAATTATAATATTCCAACCTATTTTGTACTTCGAGATCTGGCTATTTTTGCAAGAAAATATAATTTAACAATAAAATTATTTTCAATATTGAATCTAACAAAGAAGAATTCGGGATAATTGATACTTGAATTCCGGCTTGCATTTGCAGTCTCAGTAATAACTCATTATTGGCGGCAAGCTGCGCGTCAGTATCTCGAATAAATTCCTGAACAATTGAAAGAATTAAAAATACGTGTATTAGCCAAAAAGACGATTCCGTATTGGTATTATAGGCAAAACCTGTTTTGCAGTCATAATTTGGTCATTCTCAGCTTTTAGTGCTTGCAAAGTTTGCTTTAATTTCTTTAGCCGCGTTAAAGCTTTGTATGGATTTAAGGGAGCATGGCGTTCGAGTTCAAATTTTCGGGTAAATTCAGATTCAACCTTGGCTTCAATAAAACTTAGTTCTGCGAGGAATCATCGTGGTGCTGTATTAATAAACAGAAACACATAAAAGAAAGAGTAACGACAGACAAGAGAACCTGCACAAGCTTTTTCGAATTCAACTCGAAGAGTTTCTATTGCCGAATCCATCTTGGAATTTAATATAATATCTACCGTGCAAGTTCAAGTTATGATGTATCAAACGCGTCCTGCGTTATGCAACAAGATATGCATTGTGTAGATCATAAAAGACGCGTACTTGTAGAATTTTACCAACCATCTACAGAATTATATTGTGCAAATAATAATGACTTTGAAAGGCCACCAAGACTTTCTCGATTCTGTCTCAAAGGTAATTTAACTTATTCTTTAAGCTTTGATAATATTTAACTCATTGTCAACACAGGAAAGTTTCCAAATACGTCCTAGACCGACGCCTCCAGTCTCTCCTCGAAAGAGCAAGAAAAAAAGCGACTCTACGAAAGGGAGCGAAAACGACCCTTTTTATTTTGAAAGAATTGGCCTCGAAAGACTTTTAGATGGTAAAGAGACGCCAGAAGCAATGCAACTAAGACATTGGGGGTATGAGAGAACGTGGTCGCAAATACTTTCTTCTATTGAGGTATAGTCGATATTATGCAAAAATATTAGTTTTGCGACGCACATAATAAATAGAATCAATTTTTTTTATTAGAAATCACTTTTAGTTGAAAATTCGGCTTCATTCAACGATATTGTATCTTTTGTGGATAATTCGTATAGTTCAATTGAAATCGAGACCTCTTTTCAGTAAGCATTTTTTAATGGTGTAGTTGAGGATTTGTCTAAAAGAGAAGTTGTGAAGTAATTCTATATAAAGAAAAATAGTTCCAAGACGTATTGGTGTAATTTAATAAGTATTTTGTATTTAACATGGGATATTGTTATTATTTTACAGGGCTTTTGGTTTACCGTATCGGGAAATCCCGACAGCTTTGATCTTTACGGGTATTTTTTTTACGAATACATTATTTAAATTATATAATTAAATTTCTTTCCAATAAGTTTTGTCGTCTATTGATTCTAGGGATCAATAGCCCTGATAATGAATTGCTGTTCACTCGGATAGCTCAGCGATTGCGAGAGGCGAAATCAAACTATGTTGTGATGCTTCAATCAAAAGATTGTGGAAGTTTAAAGATGACCATGAAATGTTTGAATGAGCAAGTTCTTGCCTCTATGAATGATTTCGAAAACCAAGACGAGGAGGTATGTGATTATTCAGTGACTATATTTATTTTTTCATTAATAAATCCCCTATGACGTAGATGAATGATGCAGATGACACGGATGAGATGACTTTTGATGTTGAAAATGATAAGGTTCTTATACCACTATTTTTAATGATATTTTTATGAGAATGAGTGAATAAAAATTGTATTTATTTAGTTGGCCGATGGTCATCTTCAGAGATACGACATGGAAGTATTAGCAGAATGGTTTGAAGATAAACGAAAACCGAATAATGACGGTAATAACTTTATGAGCATCCATATCACGACTTGAATCACATCAAGCTGAACTTTTGGATATTTCTTTATAAATAAAGATAAATCGTTGCCTGCGAAAATCGTGATTTTGATTCAGGATTTTGAAGCCTTTGAGCCAAGTGTATTAGAAGATTTTATATACATTTGCAGGTATAACTGGATTCTTGCTTTCATGCTTAACAAATAATCATAATGTCTGATTGGATTTCCATTTCAAAATTAGTCAATACCAAGATCGCGTTAAATTCGTACTTTTATTGGGCATCGCCACCACAATTAATGCTCTGCAACAAGCACTGCCCTCTTCAATACTTAATTCGTTAAGGGTGAAAAAAATGCAATTGCAAAACTCGGAACGATGTCTTGGTAGAATCGTCACTGCGGTCAGAAATCTCGAGTCTTTATTTTTGATTCTGTTGAGTTTTCGAATTGATTGATTGTAATAATAATTTTGTTGTAGGTTCAAGTGGAAAATCATATTGGCATAAAACTAGGCAAGATGCCTTATAAATACCTTCATGAGGTGTTCCTTTTGTATAATTACTCAGTTAGCTCTTATATGTCTAAATTGCAGGTACATAAGAATAAAAATGACGTAATTGTTATTTATACTTAATTATTGAATAAATTATCATTACATTCTAGTATGCCGTCATGCATCACTTCTTCTCCAACCCGTTAAGTATCTTAGCCGGCATAGATGATCAAGAATTGCCTTCAAGACTTTCGCTTTTATCCGAGAATCATCTTGAAGCAATCCGCATGCAAAAATCTTTTATGAAGTCTGTGTATATATTGATTTAGCTATATATATCTTTTAGTCATTTCTTGTTAATAAGATTACCTCTTAATCTCAACCTAGATATGTAGAAGCTCAACTTCCCGATTCAGATGAAGTACGCCGTCTCCTGGAAGACAATGCCTATTTGGAATCTCTCTTGCCTGTACTAATCAAGGGAATTGAACAATATCATAAAAAATTCTCAATAGCTTTTGAATGTCTCTGGATAATACAGCAGTCGTTAGTTAATTGTAAAGATCCGAAAATTAATGTCGATCGGAAAGCTAAACACTCGTTATACTATTTGGCGATTCAGGAGGATGGAGGGCTTTGCGATGCCTATCATACACAAAAACTTTTAGTAAACCTGAAGTGGGTTTTATTGTCTTAAATGCTATGTGATAATTTTTGAGTTACTAACCATCCATTTTTTATTTACTAGAAAAATTGATTCATCATGTCTTTCAGATTTGCTTCAAAAATGCCTCGAATTTTTCTATGCAAATCATTATGCTGACCCTTGTTTAGCGCAAGAAGTATCGGAGTTAGAAAATTTTTTAGTTCGATTATGTGATATAGAGCAAACTTTTATTTATGAAAACAACAAAGGAGAAGAATCATCTTCTTCAACATCTTCAACAATATCTTCCACTTCTTCTCGAACAATCTTATCTTCCATTAAAGAATCAAAGAATGTAGTGATCAAGTTTTCCCCGTTAATTCAAGGTGAAGAAGAGTCAACAAACACACTCTACACGATTTTATTGAAACAAGTCTCTGAATTTTTCGATACTTTTTTCAAGTAAGTTTTTATTCTGGATAGTACGATTATACGAGTATATATAAAACACTTATCTTCTAAAAAATTAGGTCTAATCTAAAGCATTATTCAACTGTAACTCTCCATGAGGTCGTCTATTATGAAAATGAAAAGCTGTTGAAGCATGTTTGTACTTTATTATTATTGTTACATATTTATAATAGACATAGTGATCTAATCTTTCTATATAATAGATGTTTTCTGTTCATCCACGCGCAGCAACCCAAAAAGCACTGGGACAACCTAACCGTTATATCAAATGTCGATGTTGTGACTACGCTAACGATGAAGATGACGAAGACGAAGAGGAATCTATCGAGAGAATATTTCCTACTCAACAAGATACATGCATCCTATATAAAATGTATCTCGAGTTTGGTAAGATGATCAATATGTATGACTGGTTGATGGCTTTCAAGTCCATCTTGGAACGTGATGGACCAATCGACGAGAAAGAAGTCCAGTAAGTTTTCTTTCTGTAATTATTTTTTGGTAGATGTAAATGTTTTAATTGATTATTTTTCGAAAAGAGCAAGATTCATAGCCGGTGTGACCGAGTTGCAAACCCTTGGTTTCGTAAAACCAACATCTAGAAAGGCGGACCATTTTCAACGATTGACTTGGGCTCGATAATTATCTTGGATGTAATTTTATGACATGTAGATGCTAAAAATATGAGCAGAAAAATCCGATTACTGATTACATGATGATATTTAAATTCGATTATTGGGGATATTTATATACAATAAACTAATTAGGAAGTCCAGCCAGGGATTTCCAAATTTGAATTGTATAATCAACAAACAAAAATTAAAATTTGATTGATTGGGTGACAATAATCAATATATACAATATAACGATAATGAGTCAGAGACATATTGTTGTCAGTTCGTCTATAATTCATGTTGATCCGCCAAAGTGATGGTGCGTTTTTTTATCAAGAATGTAAAAAATATGCTTTAACTTTTTTTTGAACATATAAAATCAAAAAGTTTGATAATAAAAAAGTTTTCTTAACATGTATTCTATTAGAATTAACTATTTTTTTAAAGGGTTTAAAATATAATGACTGATAAAAAGTATGAGAATACTTATTAATTATTAATAATAATTTTTTGAGTATTTTACTATATAAAGTTAATTTTTTATTAATGGATTGGATTTATCCTTTTGTACTAGTTTCAGTACATTTTATAAAATTTATAAAATGTTCAAAAATGAATAAATTTATGTGATTTTGACATTTAAGCATCAATAAACATTCCTTTATATGTTGATATGATTTTCATTAACATCAATAATGTGCTTGATAAAGAAATTGTAATTATAAAATGTGCGATTTTTCAGTATTATAGATATACTAAATATAGTACATCATTAAAATTCATCATGTACCTCACACAAGAAAAAAATTAAACTTGTGACTTTGAAAAATAAAAAAATGGATCTTAGTTTACACATAAAAAAAAATTATTCAATATAAACTGTTGTATATGTAATACAGATATGATTAACCCAGCAATCTGTACACATTTCCCGTATACTTGTACAACTGCAACAAGTAGTTGTACGCATATGGCAATCTAGACATCGACGTTGAACATATTTTCCTTTGAGTCATAAGGTTGTAGGATCATCTCTAATGCTAATGAGACGATGCTCGATACTTTCAAAATCCAGCTTTCATTTTTTTTTAGTTCGATCGACAACTGTTGTATCAGAATAGCAGTCAAAGATCGATTTTACTAATTGCTTCCGAAAATCTGTATGTTTCATTTTTTGCTTGCCAGGAACAAATCTACAATATGCAGAGAAGCTGTTTGCTTCTGCAACTGTAAAATAAAAGGTAAATATGCGATTTACAGAGCGTTTTGATTTGAGGATATCATGATAAGAAGGTGCGTTGTCGCGTAAATTATTCAGGATGTCTACGGCTGATCTGAATTCATTGTATTCATCGAAAACAACAGGTCGCCGAAATTTTACTTCACCATGACTCTTGATATATCATTTTACTTCTGTTTCGAGGTTGGTTGTAGAACAACTAGAGAGAATGACAATATTTTTGCGGTCACGAATTGAGCAGATGGTTAAATCAACACCATTTAATTTTCCGGATCGACTAATGAACGATCCATAGGCATCTCCGAGAGCATCCATAATATCGTGGGGAATATTTTTTGGCCAGTAACGATGCTTTTTAAGTTGCAAGATTGAATAAAGTCCTTATTCATACAAAGCAATACATGTATTGGTACTACCGAACCATGAATCCATGATAATTGTTCTACCGCTGCGAAACTATGATTCTGTTAATCATAACACAGTTGCAGTTGTTGATGGATATTGATCAGAGAAATTTTTTTTCATAGCATGTTCCGGAG